AATTGGCACAGGACAGAGCGGAGTTTAGGGCTGTTGTACATAGGGTCGCTATGAGTCGCAAGCGACTCGACGGCACATAACAACAACAACAACATGTTCATAGCAGGGTTATTCATAATAGCAATAAAATAATAGAAGAGTTTTTTCTATAGTGAGTTTCCAACTGAAATGTATCTGGGACAATGGCCAGGGAATCATAGGGGGTTTGATTTTCTAGAAAATGTTCACTTCCCTTAGGGCAGTGGTGGCACCACCTCAGGCTCAAGAGTTTCCAAGTTTGCACCAAGAGTAAGGGCCTTAGTCTTCGGACAGTTAAAATTATCTTTGGGCCACTTGAAAGAACCCACTGGAGTCATTGAGGTCAGGTTTGCCTTTTATAACTAAACCTTCCAGTATGGTATGTTTCACAGAGAACATTATGGGGTGAAGTACACGTTGCCACACACTTTTAAATTGACAACCGTCCTTAGAAACACTTTTTTTTTTTTCACTATAGCCATCATTTGCAGCAACGTGTTAACTGATTAGTTTCAGAATTGACATATCTCATCTGAGTTTATGAGCAATCTAAGTGAAGGAAACATTTGAAAGAAATTTAGTGTCAGTTTAATAAACGTGTAATGCTCAGTTGTAAATGTCTGCATTATTGTTATTAGATGTCCTTGAGTCGATTTTTCAGGTTGGCCTATGGTTTCGATCTTCTAACCTTTTGGTTATGTAGCCAAATACATTAACTCTTATGGGCCCCACCCAGGGATTCTGAGTGTAGCCTTGGAAATGTCTGGAATTTGAACACAAAACTGTCAACGCCATTGTGTTAGAGTCAAGTCTCATGAAGGAAACTTACGACAATGGTACTATAGTAGCATTTTATTGTGTGTAAGGGGTTTTTTTAAAATAATAATAATAATAATTCTTTCTCCTTCTGTATGTTAACTTTGAGAATCTGAAAATTCCAGGTAAGTTCCATCTGGTACCTAGAGAACATTTATATCAGAGAAAAATAAGAGGCAAAAGGTAGAGAGTTAAATATGATCACTGTTTGCTATATTCTCTGCTGGTTTGTGGGATTGGCTGCCTTTATTGGTTCCTGGGAGCGTGGATGGCCTGGTGGTAAGGAGATGCACTGCCAACCCAAAGGCATGTAGTTTGATTCCACCAGTTGCTCCACAGGAGAAAGATGGACAGTCTTCTCCTGTGCGATTTACTTCCTCTGAAAACTTGGGTCAGCTGTGAGTTGGTTCTGACTTGAAGGTACATAACAACAGCATGGGTATAGGGTAAAGAGCTGGGGGGGTGCAGTGGATTTCTTGTTGGGCTGCTGGCCTAAAAGTCAGCAGTTCAAATCCACCAGCAGCTCTACAGGAAGGAAAATGCGGCAGCCTCCACCTGTTTAGGTTTATTCTCTTCTTGTTAGGTTCTGTTCTTGGTAGCCCGGTGGAGGGTCAACATCACCGGGAGTTGAGTTGACTGAGGTCACTCTAGCCTGGCACGCATGCCTAGATAGGACACTTGACATGCTGACTGCTGAAAGCAGATCGCATAAACCCTGTCTCCCATCTGCCGCAGGCCTCTAGCCTAGAACGCAACTGCAGCGCAGGAGAGAGGCACGTGGGGTGGTCCGAGAATGTTATCTGGCATTCGGGGTGCTGTGTGCTCACTCTGCTTGGTCACACAGAACTTTCCAGATAAGAATTTGAAGCTACGCTCTGAGCAGCAACAGTCCCTCTTTGTTGGGGACCATTTATTTCCGCATAGTTGTCTTCATTAGAACAGATAAGAGATTAAAAATGTGTGCCCTTTTTTCACCCCCCATTCTCATTTTTAAACCCATGTAGGACACAGCGCCCTGCACCTCGCAGCCAAGAACGGCCACCCTGAGTGCATCAGGAAGCTCCTTCAGGTAAAGTGGCAACAACCTAAACTTACGAATGTGTCCTTCTGTGACTGTAAAGTCGTGAGAGTTCTGGAGGAAGAAATGCTCCCTCCCCTCATGCATGTTTCTTTAAATACTATCCCAGAACCTGGAGGTTTTTCTAGAAAGCTTTCTACCAAAATGATAGCCAAGATCATTTCCATAGCAGTGCTCCTGGCAGGGAAGCGGGTCCTCAACAAATTGGTACGTCATCCTGGGAAGGAGCCTTTCCCCTCCCTTTCTTCACTCTTTCCGAATGATTGTGCCCTGTAACTGGGACAGTTTTCAGGATCTCTTCTCCATGCTTTCTTGGTGACTTTGGCAGCCACTGCCTTACCCTCCCGTTCTTCTCTCTTTAAATCCTGAGTAGCGTGCAGTTCATTTTGAGAAGCAAAATTCCAACCACAATGTCCTTGCCTGTAACTTGATGAGCTTGTAGTCCTCGGTTTTTGTTTAGGTTCTTGGTTTTAGTCGTCTTTGTCATTTTAAGCCAACTCCCTGGTTCAGTAACCTTGCCAGGAAGTTTATACTGGTGCCTGAAAATGACAGCCTTTGTAAATTCTTAAAGATGAATGTTTCTGGTGCTCTCAGTGGCGGTCTGTCCAGAGATGACCAGCTGTTGCCAGTCAAACTATAAGCCGGCCATTTTCGGGGACAGAATCAAGCCTTAAAGCATGTGCTCCATGGAGTCTGTTCTGTTTAGCTGCTGGCTCTGCCTTCCCGAGCACTGACTTGGGACCCAGCGTCTTGCACTAATTTGCCTCTGCACTCTTGCTCTTGAAATGCGGTGACATTCTTCAGCTTGTCATGCTCTGTGGATCACACAGTTTCTTGCTTTGTGTTACTTGAAGCAAGCTACCACCAGTGCCAGGAATGCTTAACCTTTGCAGGGCTTTGAAGCTAAATTCAAAACAAATAGGTGCACGCCTGGGATGTTGCATCATGTGGCTTCCTCCTGAAGACAGTGAAAAGTGAACTTTCCCTATCAGCCCCCTTGGGGACCATCCACTTTGGATAAAGGACAAATTGCTTTGCCCAAGCGCCCCACCTCCACACCCTCTGTCAGGCCTCAATTCCTTTATTTATTTGTGTTTTAAATCTCCAGTCCCGTCCCAGCCTCCCTCTCCAGGCTCTGCATCTGGCTCTGATTTGAAGGAAGACTTAACTTGACAGTCTGGAAATCTTTATGGGCGAGGGCCAGATAGCCTAGCCTCTAGTGTAATTTTATATCTGTGTTCAAATAGATTGGCTTTTCTCTGAAATCTTTGAAGCTCTTAAACAGTTCTTGTACTGTTCTAAAATTAGGCCAAAGCATGGCCAGTCAAAACTTGATCTCCACTCTTCTCATCAGTGAAGGACAGGCATTTTGTGCTAAGATTGCCTGATCTGAACACTGGCCTTCTCTCTGGATACTTGTTGAAAAAGAATTCTTCACAAGAGCCCAATGCCTAAACCAGATTAAAAGACTGCCAAACCCACTGCCCAGCAATGGGCCCACCCATTCAATAGTGACCCGCCAGCTGAGTTTCTGAAGCTATAAACATTTGCTGGAGGAGACCACTCAACTCAAATGCTATCCTTTTACCTACTTTATGTTCATTACTGTCAAGTTGTCAGCTCGCAGCTGATCTTCAGTGAGTTTTCAGAAGCTATAAATAGCACAGGAAGAGCTTGCCGATCTTTGTCCAGAGAAGCACCACCTTTGGGTGAGCAATGCAACTCCCTGTGACTATCCACACGACCAGGGCTCCCTTTTGACCTGTTATGGCTGCTTGCCCTAAGGCGTGAGTATCTCGGTGGTGGTACTGATTGATTGACTTATCAGCCTACCCTTTATTTAGCTGAACGGTGGTTAAGGGGCATAGTGTTGGGGATTCCACCAAGCTCGGTTGAACCTGTTTTTGTGGTTTAAGGGGCATAGTGTTGGGGATTCCACCAAGCTCGGTTGAACCTGTTTTTGTGGTTTTGAGTTCAGGTCCACATTTCCCCGCACTCTTACCTATGCTCTTCTAGTGTGAGTCCTTTCAGAGTAGTCAACAGTCGTAACCAGGCACCATCTAGTTCTTCCGGTCTCAAGGGTAGTGAAAGTTGAGGTTCATGTGATCCATTAGTCCTCTGGAACAATAATTTTCTTATTCCTTTGTTTTTATTCCCTCTTATTTCAGACAGAGAAACCAGTAGTTGCGTCCTATATTGTAAGAACCCAATCTCTCAAGACTCACTAAAGCAGGATCCAGAACAGTCTCTGTGGACTATTATTGGGTCTTTTCTCTCATCTTTGGTTTGCTGGAGATTCTCTCCCTCTCTCAGTAGCTGCCATGTTGAAGTTCCACCTCCTCAAGGCTATGAGTATACATAGGGTGTGTGTGTGTGTGTGTGTGTGTGTGTGTGTGTGTGATCAAATCGGATCTGACTGGTACAGGAGGAGATTGTCCCTCCTTCTGCAGCAGAGCATCTGGTGGATTTGAACCACTCACCTCTGGGATTGCAGTGCAGCTTCATGTCACTTGGCCACCAGAGCTCACCACTTAGGTTCTTAAAGTGCCCAAAATATGTGAAGTCAAGTTTCACCTTGATTCTAATGAGCACCTTGGTTGCACTTATTTGTTTGTTCTTTTGTCAGTCCATGGGATAATCAGTATTCTTCTCCAACACTGCAATTCAGAGGCATCTATTCTTCTGTCATCCTTAGTCAGTGTCCAAATCAACTCTCAGATGCATAGGAAGCAATTAAAAATTTCATGGGTCAGGCATATCTTAAGTTTTTAAACTAACATCTTTGCTCTTTAGAGAACTCTGGAGAGGTCTTTGACAACAGATTTCCCAGATGCAGCCCATCTTTTGATAGCTTGAATTCTGAGTCCATGGATGATGATTGTGGAGCCAGGTAAAATGACATCATTTACAACTTCAGTCGTTTCTCCATCTGTCATGGTGGCGGTTGCCTGTTGGTCCAGTGATGAGGATTTCTGTGTTTTTGATGTTCGATAATTTCCCCATTCTGTAGGACCACCCTTTTGGGGAAAAGGAACAAAGTTGGATCTCTTCCAGTCAATTGGCCAAGTAGCTGACTTTCATATTTGTTGACAGAGATTGGTGAGCATGTCCAGAGTTGCACTATTTTCTCAAACAGCTCAGCTGGTATACCATCAGTTCTTGGTTCCTTACTTTTTGCCAATGCCTTCAGTGCAGCTTCTTCCTCCAGGACTGTTGATCATATGCTATTTCCTAAAGTGGTTCTGTGTTGACCAGTTGTTCTGGTACAGTGACTATGTATTGCTTACATCTTCTTTTGATGCTTCCTGCATCATTTAAGATTGCCCATGGAATCCTTCAGTGTTGCAAGTTAAGGTTAGAATTTACCTGTTCATTCTCTCAGCTTCAGAAATGCCAAATGTGTTCTTCCCCTTTGGTTTCCTAACTCCAGCTCTTTGCATATTTCATTATAGTTCTTCACTTTGTCTTCTTGAGCAGCCCCTTTACATCTTCTGTTCAACTCTCTTACCTTGTTTGGGCTCCCTAGATTAGTTATCAAAAATCTCTCATTGCCATTGAGTCAGAACTAAGTCAGAGTTAACCTTTCAGCGAAGTTTTCAGAAGCTATAACTTTCACAGCCTCTCATTGCCCACCTTTATCCCAAGGAGGAGTTGGTAGATTTGAATTGTCCACCTTTGGTTTGGCACCACAACTCTCTACTAACTAGGCCACCAGAGTACCCTAGCTTAGATACAGTAGGAGGTAAAGAAGAGGAAATAAAAAATGATTGAGCAGTTCTTGGCTTATTGACTAGACTGATGTTAGTGCTGTTGACAGAGACCTAGAAGAGCATTAGGCTGGCCACGAGCGGGGAGAAGCCAAGTTTTGACCGTTCTGTGTGAAGTACTGTATTTCCTTGAGAGACACCATAGTAGAGGTGTGTCAGCAGCCATGGGTATTGAGGCAGGTCCTTAGACGAGACAGCTATTGTATATGGTTAAGAACACAAGCTACAGCCCTCCTATCTCAGTTCGAATCTCAGCTCTGCTCCTTACTTAAAATACAGATTACTTAACTTTTCTGTGCCTATTTCTTTTTGAGAAAACCATTATTTGTGCCTCCTTAGCATTGCTTAAAGGAATTCTTGGGAGCAGGAATGGTGTGACAGTTTAGATACAAATCATTCCTGAGCTCAGTAAGATATAAAAAAAGTCATTTTAGATTATTTATATTATGATAGAAGGAGAATTGATGCCTTTGAGCTGTGGTGCTGGAGAAGAATATTGAATATTCCATAAACTGCTAGGAGAACAAAAAGGTTCATTCTGGAGAGGTTGAGACCAGAATCCTTGGAGGCAAGGATTCTGAAGCTCTGTGTCACATACTTTGGGCATGTTGCAAGGGGTAACCAGTCCTTTGAGAGGGACATCATGTTTGGGGGGTTGAAGGAACAGCGCAAGAGAGGAAGATGCTTGATGAGATGGTTTGGTTTAGCCTGGGATAATGGCAGTGAATGTGTCAGAGACAATAAGGTTTGCACAGGGTAGAGCAGGGTTCAGAGCTGTTGTACGTAGGGTCAGTATGAGTCACTTGACTCAACGGCACAACAACAACATAATGCATATTATTATTATTATTATTATTATTATTATTATTATTATTATTATTATTATTATTATTTTTATTTTTAAAATGTGTACTTTGGAGTTGGCAGCTTCTAGATGGTATTTGAAGCTGTGGGTGTGAATGAGATAGTGAGGATGAGAGCCTGGAGAGCAAGGAGACAGGATCCTGGGACTGAGCACCGAGCAAACTCTTTCTTTCTATAGTTTTTTGTTTGTTGTGTTTGACCAGGGATCCCTGGGGGGCACAAATGTTTCATGTACTTTACTCAGTGTTCACCAGAAGACCTTGTTGATCCACTTCAAACGCTAAGTCATTGAAAACCCCGTGGAGCACAGTTGAACTCTGGCGCATGTGGGGTCAACATGACTTCGAGTCAAACCAATGGCAGATAGTTTGGGTCTTGGTTTTGAGAGAAAGAAGAGGGGCCAGAGCAGTGGGAGAAGCAGCAGGAAGGGGTGGGCCTGATTTCTGGGAGTCGGGTGAAGGCATGCTTCAAAGAAAGGGCATGGGTTGCTGCTAAGAAATCGGTAAGAAGAGAGAAAAAATTACATTGTCCCTGCAACCTTGATGGGTATTGGTGCCCTTGAGACCAGGACCACCTCTGTGGAGTCTTGAGAGCAGAGCCCGATTGCAGTGCATTTAGGAGTGGATAGGAAGTGGGGACGTGTAGTCTTTGTGGATGGTTCTTGAGAGAAAGTTGGTTTGGTGACGGGGAACAGAGAATTAAACCAGGAAATGGGGGGAAATGTGGTCTCCAGATGGGAGCTCATAGACCATGTTTGTTGGCTGGTAGGACCAATGAATTAGAGACAGAGGAGAGAAATGGGCAACTGAAGCAGCAAAGGTGTGACGGTTTGAGCCCAGCCTCACATGGTCTAGTCAGGGACTGGGAACCCAGGACTGCAGTGACTAGGGCATATTTATTTCTGTCTCCTCCCCAGTAATAAAAGCTCAACTGAATCAAGTATGCACATTTTACGTATATATGTGTGGTTGCTTTTGCCTTGCAGTCTAAATGCTCAGCGGAGAGCACTGACGGCTCTGGGAAAACAGCTTTACATTATGCAGGTAAGTGTCACTCCCTGACTTGTCTTCTGTCTCAAATAAAGCTAATGGTCCATCTTCCTGTTCAGGCTGCTGGCCTCACTACGTTGCTTCTTGATGCCAGTCTCTATCATCATGCCTAGACATACCCATTTTATTCAATGTGTAAAACATTAAAGGTTTTACCAAGAAATTGTCAGTCCACTAGCTTGGACCCTACTTCCTCTCCAAGAGTCTCACTTTGGCTCCAAGAAAACACCCACATTGGATGTGACATGGAGTGACACATAGCAGACCCCACTCCCTCTGCTGTAACATATGGAAGTCCAGTTTCCCTTCCCTCGTCATTCCAGACCCTAGCTGTATGCAGCCATTTCTTTCGCCGCCCCATTCACCCAGGCCTGGATCTGCAGGCATTGGCTCCCCTGTGTATCATCCACTAGAATGATCCGCCACCTCCAGGGGAAATGCTGAGTTTACCTCAATGAAAGTTCTTGTTTAAACCAAGAGGTGTTCTTGGGCATTTGTGGATCTCGGGTCAGGCATGGTGAGTCTTTCCATTTGCCCATCATCATGAGCATCAGCCAGTTTTACCCACCAGCATTTTCCCTGCTCCCTGCCTCACAGCATCGAATGATAAGCCTCTGATACTGAATACTGGGCTGATTCCATGACCAGGTTCCTTTTATTGCTGATTATGGAAAAGCTAAATTCTTCTAAAGGCTAAGCCAAACATTTGCCTAGAGGCAAGCAGCAGTCACTGATTTTAGACTCTGATAACTCTGAAATTAAGCAGTATTGGCATATGCCTTGTTCCATCTGCACTGTGCAGATACGGCATTTTTCACAAATGCGCAGGGTAGCGGCCACCCTATGTCAGGCAAGGTTAACCGCACCAATTTCCCAGTGGCATGTGTTCACTTCATGTCTCTTTGGTATATTTTGATAATTTTTGCAATATTTCCTATATTTCTTAGTAGTAAGGAATTGAGCTGCCAATGCAAAGATTGCATTGTTCAAACCCACTAGCTGCTCTGCAGGGAAAAGATGAGCAGTCTCCTCCCATTTGATTTTCTGCTTCTGAAAACCCATCAGAGGGTCAGCTATGGGCTGGTTCACTCAACAGTACACAACAACATGACACACTTACCAGACTAGTCAAAAGTCATTGCCAGCAAAAGCTGGCTCATAATTGACCCTCCTGAGGGGTTTTTGAGGCCATAAATCAATGAGAGGAGATTGCCTGTCTTTCTCCCATGGAACATCCAGTGGATTGAACCACCAGAGAGCCACAGCCATTCAGCTAGTGGTGCTTTTCTCTACAGATTATGCTCCCAGAGCTCTTTCTAATAGACCATAGTGTAAACATAACGTGTATGCACTGGGAGTCCAAAATTTGATGTGACTTGTTTTACTGCAATGTTTGCCTCATCATCGTGGTCTGGAACCCAACCCACAATGTCTCTGAGGTGTACCTGTAGTTAATAACACCTCTTCCCTCACCTGCCCATGCCCAGCAGTGCTTCCGTAGCAGTGCTTCCCCAGCAGTGCAGTTAGAGCGAGTGTCTTCACACGGAGTAGGACGTGACGCTGTCCCTCTAGGAGTGTTGGCCGCCCCAGGATGTAGCTTTGTGACCCCGTGGTGTGTGTGCTTTTCTCCCTCAGCGGCCCAGGGCTGTCTTCAGGCCGTGCAGGTTCTCTGTGAGCACAGGAGCCCTGTCAACACCAAGGACTTGGTAAGTACCAGGTGGCATGGACGTGGTTTGCAGAGCACTGTGGGATACTTCTGAGGAGCACAAAGACTTTGTTCTTGATGTCAGGAAGGGCCCCGGAGTTGATTTCAACTCACCATAGTCCCTGGTGACAGAGTAGAACTAACCCACAGGATTTTCTAGGCCATTATATACACAGGAATACACACAACAACAACAAATAAATGCAGGACTAGATTACCAGGTCTTTGTCCTGTAAAGCCTCTGGGTAGCTTCGAACCACCAACCTTTTGATTAGTGACCAAGCACTTCACCATTTCTGTACTCTGGCATCCTTCACCAAGACTTTAGAGACTGACTTCTCCCCACCACCCCCTTCAAAATCTGTTGGTTTTCATCCTGGAAATGGATTCACAATAGCCCCTCAAACAGATATAACTCACTGTGATCAATTCAGACCTGACTGCTGGCTTTTTTTCGGAGGCTGTAAATTGCGCAGAAGATGATTGCCTGTCTTTCTCCCATGGACCTGTTGGTGGATATGAACGAGCAGATAGGCAGCGCAGCTCCCCACAGAGTAGAGCACCAGAGCACCCTGTAATAGCCCCAGCTTGTCCCTAAACCTAAAATAAGACTTGCGGGAACATACAGTTCCTGTACATGTATCTGAAAAAGTTCAACAATCCACCAAAGTAGTTATATTAATCTTGGTTTTTTAAAAAAGAATCCCAGTGAAGAGTTCTCACTTTTTTTTCTTCTGTACCCATGTATTATTATCTTGGCTACCTTCTGTCTAATGTCACACAACTTTTAAGATTACCTCTCTAGGCTATTTTAACCTCACTGTTTTGAACTATTTTAACCTGACCTCTTTTGAGGAGAAATTCACATGCTTGTTCTATCTACTTAAGAGTTCTCTGGTGGCCTAGTGGATAAGGAGTAGTGCTGGAAACTCAAAGGCAGACAACTCGAATTCACTAGCAGCCTGCAGGAGAAAGATGGACAGCCTCCTCCTCTGTGCGTTATTGCCTCTGAAAACCCGCTGGAGGGTTAGTGAGGAGTCAGTTTCATCTCAATGGCATTGAGTGAGTGAGGGTCCTGTCTACTTAAGGATGCAAAGGATACCTGGTGGTGCAATGGCTAAACACTCGGCTGCTAACCAGGAAGGTAGCAGTTCAAACCTCACCATCTGCTCCCATAAATAAATATTACAACCCTAGAAACCCTGTGGGGCAGTTCTGAACTGTGAGTCAGAACTCAGTTGTAGTTGTTGCTACGTGTGAGGCCATTGTTGCTGCCCCCATCAGTCCATTTCAGTGAGGGTCCTCATCTTTTTCGATGACCTTCTACTTGACCAAGTGTGACAGTCCTTCCTGACAGCTTGCCTAAAATGTTAGATGTTTTAGATGAGACAGTGCCTCACATCCTCCCATCTAAGGAGTATGCTGGCAGTTACCTCTTCTGAGACAGATTTGTTCATTCTGGCAATCCACGGTTTATGGAAATAGTCCACTCCATATTCTGTTTATCATTCATTTATGATGTTTAGATTCTTCATCTGACTCTTTCTTTTAGGATGGAAATATACCACTGCTTCTTGCAATACAGAATGGCCACAGTGAGGTCTGCCACTTTCTCCTGGACCATGGGGCAGATGCCAATTCCAGGGACAGAAATGGAAGGTACCCAGAATCAGAAATCACTTCATTTACTTTAGCAGCCACACTTCTCAGAGTGTCCTCAAAATATCCCAGCTACATTTAAATGATGTGTTATAAAGTGTTTTCCACTTCTTTTTGCTTGTTTGTTTTAATTTTCTGCCTTTGATAATCAAGACTATGTTTTGATCTTTTTATAAACTAATTTTCCTCCCCTAGACCTCTCTGGGCCTCATTTCTAACTGTGATGTGAATATTGAATACTGACATAAATAGGTATTTCCTGTAACTTGACAAACTAGCATCCAGTTTATTATCATTCAAAGTCAGTGAGAGTAAACATACTGGCTTTTAAAAATAAAGACAGTGGTAGTGACATGTCAAACCAGAATAACCAAACCCATTGCCACTGAGTCACTTCCACCTCCTGGCAACTGTAAGCAATTTAAGGTGCTTGAAAGGGAAAGGACAAGATTTGTGCCAGTCATAGTGATTTTTATCCTATTATGTCAGATGTCTGTGATTGTTGTTGTTAGGTGCCATCGAGTCAAATACTACTCATAGTGACCCTACGAACAATAGGGCTGCATCCTGTCCTAGCTTTTGCCATCTTCACGGTCCCTGACTCACTTGAGCCCATGGCTGCAGGTCACTAGGTCAGTCCATCATGTTGAGGGTCTTCCTCTCTTCTCTCCACATTTCCAAGCATGATATCCTTTTCCAATATCTTAACATGTCCAGAGTAGAGAGACGAAGCTTTGCCATCTTTGCCTCAAAGGAGCATTCCAGCTGCCCCTTTTCCAAGACTTAACATGGCTTTAATTTTTATTTGATCTAACATTTTGAAAAAGCCTTTAACTAATTTTATCCTCAAGAACCCTGATGGCCCAATGGTTAAGCCTTTGTTTGCTAACCAAAAGATTGTGAGAACCCAGTGTGGTCTCGTGGGAGAAAAGACTTGGTGGTATGCTCGTGTAAAGAGGACAGCCTCGGGGACTGTGCAGGGCAGGTTTGCTCTGTCCTGCGGCATCACTCACTGGGAGTTGGAGTCACCTTGACAGCACGCTGTCTAGATGGTGGTGGTGTCAGATGGCATCGAGTTGCTTCTAACCCCTTGCAACCTTGTCTACAGCACAGCCGAGCACTGCTCCGTTCTGTGCCTGCCTCATGCCTTGAGCTTGAGCTCATTTGTCCAGTCCCTGAGTCCCTTCTTCTCATTAAGGACCTTACCTTTTTGCTGACCCGCTGCTTTAGCAAGCAGAGGGTCTTCCTCCTGGAACTGAGCCTTCCTGATAATATGCCCCAAAGTATGAGAGATAAGGTCTCAGCATCTTGCCTCTCTAGATCATTGCGGCCACGCTCTGTTCAAGATAGCTCTGTTTGTTCTTTAAGCAGTTCATGATTTATTCACTGTTCTTCTCCAGCACCGTAATTTAAAGGAATCCATTTTTCTTGAGTCTTCCTTATTCAGTATTCAACTTTCACATGCCTTTGAGGTGAAAGATAATTTAAAGGAATCCATTTTTCTTGAGTCTTCCTTGTTCAGTGTTCAACTTTCACATGCCTTTGAGGTGAAAGAAAATACTGTGGCTTGAGTCAGGCACACCTTTCTCCTCAAAGTGGCATCCTTGCTCTTTAACACGTAAGAAAGTTGTTTGCAGCGAATTTGCCCAGTGCAGTCCATTTTAATTTCTAGACTGCAGTTTCTATGGTATTGATTGTGATTACAAGTTAAACCCTTGACAACTTCAGTCTTTTCTCTGTGTGCCATGATATTGCTTATCAGTTCATTTGTGACGATAATATTTTTTTTGCTTATTTTATTTATGTTGTGGTATAATCCATACCTCAGGTTTTTGAACTTCATTTCTAAGAACTTCAATTCATCTTATTTTTTTGCAAGTAAGATTGTGTGTCATCTGCTAAGTATAGATTGTTAATGAGTCTTTCACAATCCTGATGCTGTGTTGTTCTTCATATAGGCCACCTTCTTGGATTAATTGCTCAGTGTACAGGTTGCTTATATATGATGACCAAGTACGGCCCTAATGTCACTTTTCCTGGTTTTCAAGCATGTGGTATCACTCTCTTCTGTCCCAACAACTGCATCTTGGTCTATGTTAAGGTTCCACTGGAGTACGATTAAGTGTTCTGCAATTCCCATTCTTTGAAATGTTATCCATAATTTCTTTTGATACAATAATTGAATGCATAGTCAAGGTCGCATTCCATTTTTAATTCCATTTCTCTAAATAGCATTCCATTTTGGATTCCCCAGGAGATTAAGTGCAGTAAAAATTTAGCTGTTACTTTATCTCCTTTTCACTGTTTTCTAGAAAAGTGATATAATATCCCAGGATATAAATACTGTAATTACTAATTTGGTGTATCTGTTTTTCTTTAGATCTGCTCTCATGCTAGCCTGTGAAGTTGGCAGCTCTAATGCTGTGGAAGCCTTAATTAAAAAGGGTGCAGATTTAAAACTTGTCGATTCTCTTGGACACAATGCCTTACATTATTCCAAACTCTCAGAAAATGCAGGAATTCAAAGCCTTCTATTATCAAAGATCTCTCAGGATGCTGGTATGTAAAAGAAAATAGCCAGTGTTGTTTCTAATTTACCCACTTGACTTTCCCCAAAGGGTAAAGGAATGTGTGCAGTACGATATATTTTCATATTATTTTAAAAGATCTAAAAGAAAAATGAAATGTTAAATGGTATGTGTGCTCCAACTCAAAGAACACATGTGTCACTACGATTCTGACAGTTTTTTGTTTTGTTTTTTACTTCTCCCTACAGATTTAAAGATAACGACAAAACCAAAGCAGGTATTTATCTTCAGGGGATAGAATAAATTTTTTTTCTTTTACTTTTTGGTTGTAAGAACTTGAAAATGAGAAGATCAAACTACTCAGTTGTTCATTAGAAAAGTAATATAGATTATACTGAAAATACTTAAGGACTGAAATATCTTTGATGGAAGAGATAGATCCATTGTAATGAGGTAATACTTTCTTCATGAGTGACACAATTTCGAAAGCATGTAACTTTAAACTTTCAACTCCTTTATCTTCTTCCAAAATGTACTAATTTTTCCTACTGGTGTGAATATTTAATGTGGCTTCAACTCTGTGACTGTTTTTAAATATTTTAAATATCTATGACTGTGTTTTAAATATCTCAAATAGTACATGGAATACAGATTGATAATCATGGAAATGTAACCTCTTAATGAATATAAAAGATTAATTTTTTTTATTATTTCATTTGAGGCTTTTTCAAACTTTCATCTGCTTTTTAACAGAGTAGAAATTGTTTGACGTGTTTATTCTGTTATTTTGGGAGTTTTCCCCTAAATATTGTTTGTCAGTATCTATGTATTTTATTAACGACAAACTATATGCTTGTCTGCAATATGTATTTACTTATACATTAAGGACTTTGAAGAAACTATAAACTGTAAATACTCAGTACTGAATTAATTGAATGCTAACTATACTGCATATTTATCCATGAACTTCAGAGGAAAGGTTTCCCCCTCCTCCATCCACTTATTTAAGTTCTTTAAGTAAAGGAGATCAGGAGGAAATAGTGCCCCTTTTTATTAAGATGGGAAGCCAGATTGTGAATGTATTCAGAGTTCTAATGTGGTAGATGGGTCCTCATCCTCCACTTTCCCAGTTTTCCACCACCGACTTAATCCAGTTTGTCTTGTATTTTTAATTTCCTGCTATTAAAAACATGGGCTGCTGGACGAAAACTTGGAGCATGCATATTACTTATGTTTATCTAGGTCTCAGCATCCAAATTTTGAGCAGTAAGAAATGCATGAGCTGTTGGGGTGTTTCTCAGTTGTTTGATGAAACTACTTGCTCGGACTTTACTAACCTAACTAACCCCCCTCCGTTCTTCGGACTGTGATAACTTTCAGCATGATCAAGTCTCTAAAATAAGCTCAGAAAGAAGTGGAACTCCAAAAAAACGCAAAGCTCCACCACCTCCTATCAGTCCTACCCAGGTAACAAACAAAGCAGCAATCAGCAGACCTATAACAGCAGAGCCATTTGTGTGTAAGTGGGAAAAGAATAATGGAGAACTTCCCTTAAATATGTGTCTAAAATTTGTTGCTAGTGGTTTTCAGTTACAAATTGTGAAGTAGTTTTATTAGTAGGGAGATTATGTTGACTCTCACCTTGTAAAACTAAATAATTGAATAATAGCTTTTTTCAAAAAAGCCCCAAGTCTCTGTAAATGTTTATGAAAATTAATAAAATATAATTATAGAAAAAAAAGCCCCAAGGAAGTTTCCTAAAAACTCGTGAGCCTGAAGATAATGCTCATTTTATGTTTAGTCCTTTCTATCATCAGCTCTAGTAAAGAGCAGTAATGCAACATAGGCATTTTGTGGGAATTAATAAATTAGTTTTATTTCTGAAAATATTAAGACATATAAACCTTGCTGATTACATTTTTAAAAGCCCCAATAGCCTGGAGTAAGGAGTTGTGCTGCCAGCCCAAAGGCAGGCTGTGCAACTGTACCATCTGCTCCGAGGGAGAAAGATGCCAATCTCCCGTGCGATTTACAGCCTCTGAACACCAGCTGGAGGGTCAGCTGTGAGTCAGGTCTGACTCAGCAGCTCCTAACAGCAGATACCTTTCAGATTGGCTATCAGTGAGTACTACATAAAGGAGGAAGTTTAGGCATCTGGACAGTGACAGCGTAGACTAAGGTTAGTTACAAACCAGCATAAACCAAATAGAATAATCATCCTTCACATGGAGGAATAACTAATTTTAAATGCATTTCAGGGTCTTCATTAATAATCTTAATCTATAATTGAAGTTGTTAGTATATTTTAAAAGCTAAGGGATACTCTTTCAACTTTAAAAGTGTTTGAGGTAGCTGAATTGCATGGAAAAAATGTTATATGAGATTTACTTGAAGCTAAAAAAGGAGCCCAGTTGGCAAAGTGCTTAAGCACTCAGCTGGTAACTGAGAGGTCAGTGGTTGAAGTCCATCAGCCAGTCTGCAGGGAAAGGATGCAGCAATCTACTTCCATCAAAATTTCAGCTTTGGGAACCTGATAGGGCACTTCTACCCTATTTTGCAGGGTCTCAGTCAGTTGGATTAAACTCAGCAGGACTAAGATTAGTTTGGGGTTTAAAGATAATTATTTGTAGACCTGTTTACATTGGTTACATTGACTGATTATTTGATACTAGAGAAGAAAACTCTTTCAAGAAGTATCCTTAATTGGTGGTTTTAATTTTGTTTTTCTAGTTGAGTGATGTGTCTTCCCCAAGATCAATAACATCAACACCCCTTTCTGGAAAGGAATCAGTATTTTTTACTGAACCGCCCTTCAAGGTACATCTTTCCTGTGTTCAAGTTTGCTACTCAGTTTTAAGATCAATGTTCTTGTTGTTATTGGGTGCAGTACCATCCAATTGGTTTTAATGCTATGTATGACACAATCAACACTGCCCAGTCCTTCGCCGTCCCCACAGTCACTGCCCATGTTTGAACCCACTGTTGCCATCACTCTGTCCATCTCTCTCATTGTGGATTTCTCTATTTTCACTGACCCCTGATCTTTACGTAACCAAAGTGGTACCATTATCCAGGGACTGGTTCTTCCTGATAACAAAGCTGAAGATACATGATAGAGTGGCGTTTTTAAAGTTATACCCCAGGCAAATTGAATGTCTTTTGTCACCAAGAAAGACTCCCTTAAGTGTTTTTTCCTGCTAGAAACCTCTTTTGAAAAAGAATAAGATTAATAAATTATTTTTTTAAAAAAATTAATAGCTATTTTATCCACTGAAAAAAAAGACAGGTAAGAACTTGCCTCATAACAAGTCTTATCCCACATTCAAATGATTTCATGCCAATCAACAGTAAATCAACTTTGTGGATTTTTATCTCATCTGAGGAGTAAATTGTATATTTTTAACTAAAGCTGTTTTCTGCCTATACAAGTAATATTTATTGTAGATATTTTAGAAAATCCATTAGGTCTTTATTCTACCTCTAAGAATTCATCTGAGCTTTACAGGTAATTGGTAAGTATTTTAAGGGAATGAGACAATACTTCAGATCAGCATCTGTCTATCTCACAATCACTGGGAAAATGTACTTGGAAGAAAAGTGAAATTTCTAATTATTAAAATGAAATGTTCCAAGTATATAATTAGTTTATCTAAGAATTTCTAAAGAATAATGCAATCACTTCCATGATGAGATCTGCTCTGAGCAATCAGTTCAAAGTGAGTTTTGGAGGAGGGGGCAGGCAGTATGACCTGTCTTAAATACATGTGGACATCTGGCAGAGGCTTCTTGCTTGCCACTGAATTGAGATCATGCATGTGACTCATTACTGTCTGACCTCTGGTTTTTTGGACTTGAGCCAGCAACCTGCCATGTGGTCTGCCAGTCTTGGATAAATCAGCCTCCAAAGCCAGCATTCTGCCATCTCACTAGCCTGTCTTGGATTCGGCAGCCCCAGCAGCTACATGATTCAGAAGAAAAGTCTATCCTGATGTCTGACCCAGGGACTTAGCAATTTACAGCCTCTTATAAGTGTGTGAGCCATTTCCTTGAGATAAATCTTTCTCTGGGAGGGGAAAAAAATTATTCAATGATATGATTAACTGGATGCACATTGAACATATTCTGTCATTTCCCTATATTCTGTTGCTGACCCTACAGAAGTTTTCCAGTGGTAGTAAAATGGTATGAGAGGAGATTACCCCTTTTGTTCTCCAAGGTGGATTTGAACCGTGTCTTTGGGTTGGCAGCACAGCTCCTAATCACTAAGCCACCAGAGCATATTTCAACTAGACTTGATTAATAAATTATTTAATATCAATGCATACACAAGGAGAGGGGGAAATTATGCTGCTAATGTAAATATCCTAGTATCTTCTACAGTAACTGTTGTGTAAATGCATTACTAAGGATGATACCAGAAATTATGATTTTCAGAAGTATGGAAGAACTGACTTCCATTTCTGTACCAAAATAATATAAAAAGACACATAGAATGCACTTAGAATTGTCACACTTACCCGATAATGATCACTGTCCTAAAGCATGGATTATACCTCAAAATAAAGGAAACAAAAATCCTCACAACTGGACTAATAAACAACATCATGGAAAAATAGAAGGAAAAAATATTGAGGTTGTTAAAAGATTTTCTTTTACCTGGATCCACAAGTAATGCCTATGAAAATGTCCAAGAAATCAAAAAACATAAGACTGGGTAAATCTGCTGCAAAGAACTTCTGAGAACAAGGATGTCAATTTGAGAGCTAAGGTACACCTGACCCACGGCTATGTATGGTATGTTCCGTTGCCTCATAAACACGTGAAAGTTGTGGACAATGAATAAGGCAGATCAAAGAAGAATTAATGGCTTGGCGCCACTGTATTGGCAGGGAGTACTGCATGTGTCCTGGACTGCCAGCGGAACAAATACATCTATCTTGAAAGAAGTGCTGTCAGAATACTCCTTAGAAGCAAGGATAGTGACTTCATCTCACATGCTTTGGACATGTTGTCAGGAAGTGCTGATCCCTAGAGGAGGGCATCATGCTGGATACAATTAGAGGGTTGGCAAAACAGAGGGAGCCTCTCAAGAAGGTAGACTTGACAGAGTGGCTCCAACAGTGGGCTCACACACAGCAGTGACTGTGAGCATGGCGTGAGACCAGGCAGAGTTTGTCTTGTTGAGTTGTGTTGTGCACAGGGTTGCTGTGAATCAGAACTGATTTGATAGCCCCTAACAACAACAGTGTTAGGAAAGGAGGGACCTTTGTGGCACAACTGTAAGCACTTGTCCACTAGCCTCGGCATTGGTTCAAACTCACCCAGCAGCTCTGCAGGAAAAAACCTGGCAGTCAGCTTCTGTACAAACTGAAGCAAGAAAAAACCCTCTGGGGTAGTTGTATGCCACATGGGGTCCCTGTGAGTCACACATGATTTGACAGCTCTCAACAAGAACTTTGAAAAACTGAAAGCACCACGTAGTATTGATGAGGATATGGAGGAAATAGAAGTCTCACACCTTGCTTGTGGGAATGTAAACTAGTATAACAACTTCAGAAAACCGTTTGGCAGGTTTTTTACGTTAAATATATGCCTTTTGTGTGATCCAGCCATCCCCTTGAAAGCGATTACCCAAACGAAATGAATATAGATGCCTCTGTAAAGTTTTACATGCAGTATTTACAGAAGCTTTACCTAGAAGCCTATAAACATGAAAACACCCAAATGTCCATCAACAAGGGAATGGATAAACAAAATGAGATCTGCTCATATAATAGATTAATATTCATTAATAAAAAGGAACAAACTGCTGTATAAATGACATTTTAGGTGAATCTGAAGATCATCATGATGCGTGTAAGAAGCCAGACACATAAAGAATCCATACTCTGTGATATGTGATAGTTCTTGAAAATGGAACTACAAGCATACTGGTTGCCAGGGAGTGAGATGGAAAGGGATTGTCCAGGGTGAGCACAAGGGAGCTTCTAGGACTGATAGAAATACTTTACATCTTAGTTGTGATGTTAGTTTTACATTTGATGGACAGTCTGCTCCTGTGTCATTAACTGCCTCTGAAAACCTACCAGAGGGTCAGCTATGGGTCGGTTCTAACTCTACAACAACAACAGCTTCTATTTTTCAGACATCTGAGTTGTAAACTTTAAAAGGATACATTTTAGTATGCCTTAGTAAAGTTGAAAAATATAGAAGTATTTTTAAGGGAAAGGAGAGCTTTTTGTAGAGATAAAGACTTGCCAAAAATAAGCTGTTTTATTTTTAGGTTTTGGACTTCTACAAAAAGTTCTTGTGCTGAAAAATGATATTGCTTATCATTGTCTCTGGCTTATCTAGATGAAACATTAACTTCTGGCAAGTCACTCAATTTCTTTTTTCCTCCTTAAAATTATTTATGCTGTATTCCATTTTGAAATGAGAGTTAGTTGAGCTTTGAAGTTAGCAGAATTTTTGTAATAACGTTAACAGACATTTGGGGATAAAGGTTTGGAGGAAATCTTTTGGGCATCAGTTATCAATTTGGGACTATAAGAATTTTTATTCCATTTACAGCATTTATCAACAAGTCTTATTTGTGAACTTTTCTTTTTAAAAGATTAATAATAACATATTAGTAGCAGATAATTTATAAAATGCCACTGCTAAAACGGTCCAACTTTAACATATTTTGACCAGTGTATAAGCCAGATAGTTATAATACTTTTTTTACTTCATTATAAAAGGAGTATTTACCACTTCGGGTTAGCCTAATTAGTGATTGTTGTTGTTGTTATATACCACCAAGTTGCCTGGAGACTCATAGCGACAACAGCCCTAAACCCTGCTCTATCCTGTACCTATCTCACTCTCTGACACACCTACCCCATTACCCCAGTGACAGAATCATTCCACCTCATAGAGGGTCTTCCCCTCCTTCGCTGTCCCTCTACCCTCCCAAGCATGACTTTCCTCTCCAAGAACTGGCCCATCCTTGCAACATGCCCAAAGTATGTCAGACGAAGCCCCAGAATCCTTGCCTCCAAGGAGCAGCCTGGCTTCACCCTCTCCAGGACAAATCTGTTTGTTCTCTTAGCAGTCTATAGTATATTCAGTACTCTTCTCCAACACCACAGCTCAAAGGCATCAATTCTTCTATCCTCCCTATTCATTGTCCAGCTCTCTGACACAGAGCAAGTGATTGAAAAGACTATGGCCTGTATCAGGTACATCTTAGTCTCCTGAGTAACATTGCTGTTCTTCAGTACTTTGAAGGTGACATAATTATCTTAAAATGCATTTCTATCTTATTCACCAAAAGAGATTTCTGAAAAACACCTAGAGACTATCACCTTTGAAGTTCCTAACATTTTAGAAGTTGTCATTTAGTAGGCAACTGTCCTGCTCCCATTTATTTCTGAAGAGCTTACTCTTTCCTTTAGGTTTTCTAGCTGCTTTTGTGATAGGGTGAGCCACCTCCGTCCCATGTCAACTCAGAGAAGAAAACCTGCTTGCTACTTTCTGACTAGATTACATTGAATGTTCTTTTAAGTCATGTTTGTGTTTCCACAGGCTGAGATCAGTTCTATCCAGGAAAACAAAGACAGACTTAGTGACAGTACTGCAGGTAAGAAGGAGGGGCACCTGCTTGTATTCCTTCAGCCAGTCTCTGGTCTGTATTCTTTTCAGGAGAGCCACAGCCAAGCAGGGGACTCTAGGGAGGTCAGAAAATGAGTGTACCATCACTTAATACCAAGAATAGACACATGGGCTGAAGACTGTGCATTTTGCTGGCCTTTGGTCTGGAGTGGAAGGAGTTTCTGCTTTTACACATAAAAAATGCATGTCTGTTTTTGTTTAGGAACCCTGGTAACATAGTGCTTAAGTGTTTGACTGCTAATTGAAAGGTCTACATTTCAGTACCCCCAGCAGCTGCACCATGGGAGAAAGATGTGTCAGTCTATTTCTGTAAAAAACGTCACAGTCTGAGAAAAACCCTGTGAAGAAATTTTACTCTGTCCTGTTGAGTAACTATAAACAGGAGTGACTGGGCAACAGTGGGCTTTATTTTCTTTTCTTATCAACTGATTTATCCCTTAAGACCCCTGATGGCAAGGAGCTCTGGTGGCCTAGTGGCAAGAAGCTGTGCTACAATCCCAAAAGTGCACGGTTCAAATATACCAGATGCTCTGCTTAAGATGGAGGGTCAATTTCCTCCTGTGCCAGTCGGATCCAACTTGACAGTACACAACAAGGGGAATAAAAACAGCCCTTCGTGGCTCAATTGGTATGCACTCAGCTGCTAATCAAGAGGTTGATGGTTCAAACCCACCAGCAGTCAGTTAAATCATACACAATTTCCTCATCCCCTTAAGATAGAGTTTGATGCATTCTATCCTTTGAGCATCTTTCTTAAGGCTTTAACATCTAAGAATGTCATTCAAGAGGAAAGGAATTTGAATACTAGAAAAGACTGGGATCATATCTGGGAACAGGAATCCCTGCGTTGAGAACCTCCTAGACCTAGTGGAGTTGATAACACCACATGGTGAAGAACTCCACGAAATAGTGGGCTCACACATGTGGAAAGGAAGCAAGGGCTCCAGAGCTGACAGAGAAAACCTAGAGCTGACATCCTGAGTTCCTCTAAACAACACAGATAGACATAGTGACTGTGGCAATGAACATATCAGAGATTCTAAGAATGATGCAGGATACAGCAAGGTTCAGTTATGTTGTTTATAGGGTCGCTGTGAGTCATAGTTGATTTGATAGCACCTACCAACATCAACATAAGCCCTCTAAACTGTGACAGAATAATTTCTGTTTGTTTAAACCATTAAAAAAATAACAACAGTACTTTCAGAGTTAATTTAAAAAATAGTTGTCTGTGGGCCAGCATTTGGGAAATATCAGACTGGTTGATTTCTAAGACCCCTTTTCACTCCAGCATTTAGTTTCTTAGTCTCTAGGATATTTTATATTTGTCTGGGCCTTGGAATTTACAGAATTCAGAAATACTAAATTTTTTAATTCTTAACAAAACCCCCAATCCTTGCCATCGAGTCAGAACCGACTCATGGCTGACCATCCGACAAGTTGTCACAGCCTGTAAGTTGCATGGGAGCCTGTAAGTCACATGAGAGGAGGATGCCCATCTTTCTCCCAAGGTGAAGGTGGTGGATTTGAACCGACAGAGAAGTCCTACCTTTTGGTTAGCCGTGTAACCCCTATTGCCCACACCACTAGCGCTCCCTTAGAAGATCTTGGCATTTAATATAACTTAACAGTTGGTGATGGCCTAGTAGTAAGAAGGTGCGCTGCAATCCCAAAGATACATAGTGCAAATCCACCAGCTGCTCCACAGGAGAAGGATGACCAGTCTCTTCCTCTGCAGTTTATTGCCACTGAAAACCCACTGGAGGGTCAGCTGAAGTCAGTTCTGAGTCGAGAGCAAACAACAAGTGATACATCGGATATTTCTTCAAAAACCCACTGCCCTTGAGTCTGTTCACATCGATTTCGATTCGCCATCTGGTTTCTGAGGCTGTAAATCTTAGTGGGAGGAGACTGCCCATCCTCCTTCCTCCGAGCCACTGGTGGATCCGAACCACAAGAAATACGAGGCATTTTGATCAGCAGCACAGCTCACACTGCAGGCCTGCCACCAGAGCACTTTGATTGTGTGTTAGAAGTGACTTGTATTGTTTAGAATTGTAGCTCTACCCCTGAGCCCCAGATTCATACTAAACTCACAAAACCTGTTGAGAACACTATGCCTTGAGCATCAGATATCAGAAGAAAGCTTTTCTGTGGAAAGACATCATTTTACATGCTTCTAAAGTAGGATTAAAATGGTTGTCAGAAAACAAGAAACATAGCCGTAAAAATTGTAGTGCTAGTTACCGTCGAGTTGACTGTGACTCAGAGTGACCCTATGATATAAACCCTGCCCTTTCTTACACCACCCAACAGTCTTCATCACACTCAAGCCCAGTGTCGCAGTCAGTGTGTAAATCCATCTCTTTGAGGGTCTTCCTCTTTCTCTGACCTTGTACTTTTCCAAGCAAGTAAAAGGAACAAAAAAAAATTAGATCTGTGTGATTCATAAACTACTACCAGTCCACAGGACCAGGAAGTCTTTGAGCTCTATCACTAAGCCCACTTCTAAGTAGAAAGGTGATCTCCTGCCTCCTCCCCCAACAGGAAGAATTTCTGGATGAAGGGAGCTGTATATTGACTTATACTCCAGAACAAGTTCCTCCAAGCAGTAACAGTGCTTTACATGCTATTTCTGTAGGATGAAGCAGTGGGATGTCCAAGAGTTGTTACTGTGAGATTCTGAAAAGAGGAAACTGTTTCCTGATGGGATAGTCGGTGAATGCTTTAAAAAGGAGGCCACGTTTGACATGGGCCCTTAACAATGTTATCATAGTCATTGCTTTAGGTAGACAAACACATGAAGGCATAAATTTGAAGATTGGCTCTTTTCTTCAACTTTAACCTTTTTTATATACCTTTTTAAAAAAAAATTATGCTGGTGTACTTAAAAAGTTCATAAAGTTCTTATACATTGTTTTTCACACCAGATTTCCCCCATTTCCTTTACCCACCCTTCCCTGCACCCCTCAAATTGTGTGACCCTGTAATTAAGCCCTTTCCTCCGCTCCTTGGATCCTCGTACTCATTCTGCAGTTATGGTCTTATACAGTATTTATGCTAAACAAGCAGGTGATATCAAGGGAGGGCCAAGTCCTAGAAGAGGAAAGTGACTTAACAAACTGAGCAAAAAAGAGAATACCAATCTGGTGCTTAGAAAAAAAAATTGTATTGACCCTTTGGCCAAGTAATCTCTAAATTAAATAGAAAGCAAAGGCTAAAATAATAATTATCAAAAAGGGGGGGAACCCCAGTGTTACCTTAACCAGGCAGTGCTGTTGTAATGACTGTGTGACTGTCATGAACAGAAATTCCTTTTCCTCAGCACTTCGGGAGGCTAGAAGTCTGAACTGAAAACAGCTATGAGAGAAGCGGGGAGTTCTGTGCCACTAACACAAAGATGGCGGCTCCAAGGGAGAAGGATGAACAATCTCCTCCCATGTGGTTTACAGCCTCAGAAACCTGCTTGGAGGGTCAGCTGTGAGTCCGTTCCTCTTCGATGGCAATGAGTGGCATAGGCAAGATCATACTGACTCTGGGGGCTCATCTTTGGCTTGCTCTTTCCATTTTTGTAGCCCCATTCTCCTAAGTTCCTTGGCAATATTTTCTTTCATCTGTCTTCTCCACTTCCTGCTATCTTCTGCATTTGGTTAGCTCCTAAGATATACCCTAGCCTGATACCATCCCATTTGCATAACAAAGCTCCATTCCCAAATGGGATTGCAGATAGGGTATGAAGGCTAGGGGGCCCACACTCATTTTAACAACTCATTGCCATCTAATCAGAACTGACTCTTAGCTGACCATACAGCAGGTCTCCAGAGATTGTAAATCTTCCAGGAAGAGACTGCCCATCTTTCTCCTATAAAGCAGCTGGTGGATTCGAACCACTTGCCTTTGAGTTGACAGCATAGCTCCTTACCCATGAGGCCACCAGATCTCTCCACACGCACTTTTGGAGGACAAAATTCAAAGCATAACAGATGTGAAGGGTTTTTTTTAATCTAGGCACAGAGATGCTAGAAGGACATGTCAAGGATATGAGGGAAGGTGTGATGGGAGCTTTGAATTGGAGACAGATGGAGACATAGGAAGAAGCCATGGATCATAAGCCTGTGAATGTCACAAGAAGCCTTAACCTTGAAAGAGGAATTTAATTCACACAGAAACTAATTCTGGAAGGAGAACAATGAAAGCACATGAACCAGACTGAGTCAATCAGAGTACACATTAGGAAGGTGAATGTGACCTAAAATGTGTGGACCCCACTTTACAGGGGAAAGGAGAAAAGCAGAGATGTGCCAGGAGACCATTTGTAACCTTTCCAGGGAAGGTGATAAAATCTAATCTAGAGTGATGGTGCAGGAGATTAGAAATGAAGCAGGTTGCAGAGATGCATCAAAATGGTTGACCAAATGAGACCTTTTTGGGGTTGAGAGCAGAATCCAAAACAGCCAAGGTTTTGGCACTCAGGTAAATGGGAGAAGTATGGTGAGATCCATGAATTTTTCAGAAAGTTATATATACATCCTGTGTTCTGTGCTGGGCTGGGAATGTGAGGGAAGAAACCCAGTCTCTGAAAAGTGCCCCTTTCATCTAGCTGGTGTTGGAGGCATCCTGGTCCAGACCAGGAAGAACTGGTTTGGGATATTAAGTGGCTTTGTTAGGGATGAGAGATAAACTTGTTAATGTGGATTTAAATTGCCTTTTTCTATTCCAAGGTGCGGATAGCTTATTGGATATAAGTTCAGAGGCTGACCAACAAGATCTTCTTGTCCTGTTACAAGCCAAGGTTGCTTCTCTTACTTTACACAATAAGGAGTTGCAAGATAAATTACAGGTAGGTAAATCAGCTGCCTCCACAGAATATATGGGAAGGAAAAACAAAACAAAAACACCTCATAGCCATCAAGCTTCGCTGATCCTTAGCGGGTTTCCAGAGGCTGTAAATCACATGGTAGGAAATTGCCCATCTTCATCGCACGGAGCCGATGGTGGATTTGAACCCTTAGAGAGGCACCACCTCTGGGTTGGCAGGACAACTTCCTCAAGACTGCACACCACCAGAGCTCCTCACAGAGTGTAAGTCAAGCTGCTGGGTTTTCTGAGGAGTACGTCTTTTGTTTTAAACATTTGCATGAATTTTAAGAGTTTAACATGCTCAGCTGCTAACTGCCAGAGATTCTGGGCTTCAAATCTGCGTAGCAGCTCTCCCTGTTCAGAATGACCTGCTGGTTGACTTTTGGATTTCCAGAAGGAAAACCAACCTCTGAAAACCCATGGAGCACAGGCTTGTGTTGACTCACATGCCATCCCATGAGGCAGGGCTGACTCCACAACACCGGGAGGTGGTAATGGAGAAACTTTGGTTTGGACCTCTCCATTACTTTCCTCCTTTTTGAAACATGTCTAAATTAGCCCTGTTGTTAAGTGCTGTCGAGGCAGAACTGACTCACAGCTGACCCTCCTGTAGAGCACCTGGTGAGTTTGAACCCCAGCCTTTGGGTTGGCAGCACAACGCCTTACCCACTAGGCCAGCAGAGTTCCCATGTGTACATCTGTCCAGACATATATGTTGTTATTAGATGCTGTCTCTCACACACACATCTAATGTTAGCCATTGGTTTAATAGAGTTGATAATTTTCAGAATTAAAAACTTGCTAAGAACTAATACCTGATAGGAGAGATGCCATCATCACACAGGTGTTTTTCCCAGGGTGAGGCTTATCCATTGCGCTCTGGATGTGCTGACCCCTGCAATTTCCCCAAATGTGGAAAACTCAACTGCATAATTTGTGGTATTGGGTATTGCTGCATCCTTGTTTTCCCCTGATTTAAAAAAAAAACAACAACAACAACAAACCAACTTGCTAAGAACTAACTGTATCCAGCCTTTAGTACATGTGGGAACTAAAATTATAATGAGGAAAAAAAGAAAAAAATTCTTGCAGTGCTTTTTAAAGTACCATAGATCATCTATCCTGATAGAAGTACCTTTATGGAAGACGACTGTCTTCTCTTTCTTCATCAGAGCTGCTAGATGGTTTGAACTGTCAGGCTTTCCGTTAGAAGCCCAGCACTTAACTTACTGTGCCGCCAAAGCTCCGTAGATGAGACAAGATTGCCCAGGTCTCTGCCATGGAATAGCTGGTCGATTTGAACCACTGACATTTTAGTTAGCAGCCCAACAAATAACACACTCCCAAGACTTCGTTACCTGGGGGGCTCTGGTGGCTTAATCCGTAGAGACTTGCATTGCCTGCTCAAAGGTGGTGCCTCTCTAATGGTTCAAATCCTCCAGCAGCTGCATGAGAGAAAGATGAGCAGTCTCCTCCTGTGTGATTTGCAGCCTCTGAAAACCCCCTGGAGGGTCAGATATAGGTTGGTTCTGACTCTGACTCCGTGGCGGTGAGTTTTTTTAATAGAAGTGCCAGCTCAGCTTTGTGTCGTGAATCTGGTTCTAATGCCCAATAACACTGTATTTTTTCATGTGGTAAGAAGTATGCACACTAGGTGTTCATGCTGCTCTTCTATCACCCCATTTGGACTTTATTTTTCTCACACTAGCTGCTTGCTCACCTAACCACAGCACCGGCATGATTTAATTTTGGGTGTTTCTTTTGTTTTGTTTTGTTTTCCCCTAGGCTAAAACACCCAAGGAGGCAGATGCAGACCTCAGCCTTGACTCTTACCACTCCACCCAAACTGACATGCCTCCGTCCCTGGGCAAGTCTGGCCAGACCTCTCCCTCAGACGGTAGATCATCTCCCCCTGTTTCAGCAGATTCCTTGGAGAAATCCACTCCCAGCAGCGAGGTCAGAATTCAGCAACTGCAGGAGACTTTGCAGGACTTGCAGAAGCGTTTGGAGAGCTCGGAAGCAGAAAAGAAACAGCTCCAGACTGCGCTGCAGTCCAGAGGGACCGAGCCAGCATGCTTCAACCACGCAGAGATGGCTGAGAACGGCTCCGACCTCAGCCAGAAACTCAAAGAGACGCAGAGCAAGTATGAGGAAGCCATGAAGGAGGTCCTTAGTGTCCAGAAGCAGATGACACTGGGCCTCGTCTCACCAGAGGGCACAGGCAGTCGTTCACATCTCCCCGAGCTGACAATCACCGAGGAGGAAGTGGGGGTGCTCAAGAAGGATCTCCAGGAAGCTTTGGAAGAAAGCGAAAGGAATAAAGAGAAAGTGAGAGAATTAGAGGGAAAACTGGAAGAGAGGGAGAAAGCAGGGGCCGCCAAGCCACCTGCCGAAGAGTATGAGGAGATGAAGACTTCGTATTGTGCTGTTATTGAGAATCTGAATAAGGAGAAGTCGTTTCTGTTTGGGAGATACCAAGAAGCCCAGGATGAGATCATGAAACTGAAAGATACGTTAAAAAGTCAGATGGCTCAGGAAGCCAGTGACGAAGCCGGGGACATGAAGGAGGCCATGAACCGGATGATCGATGAGCTCAACAAGCAGGTCAGCGAGCTGTCACAGCTCTACAAGGAGGCTCAGGCCGAGCTGGAGCAATACCGGAAGAGGAAGTCTCTCATAGACGTCACGGCCAACTACATCCACAAAGCGGAGCACGAGAAGCTGCTGGAGGTGACCAACGTGTCCAGGGCGAAGGCCGAAGAGTCCCTGTCGGAAATGAAGTCTCAGTATTGCAAAGTGTTGAACGAGTTGACCCAGCTCAAGCAACTGGTTGATGCCCAAAAGGAGAACTCGGTTTCCATCACAGAACATTTGCAAGTCATAACAACCCTGCGGACTGCTGCAAAAGAGATGGAGGAAAAAATCAGCAGTCTGAAAGAGCTCCTCGCCAGCAAGGAGGTGGAGGTGGCCAGGCTGGAGAAACAGCTCTTAGAAGAGAAGGCAGCCATGACCGACGCCATGGTGCCCAGGGCCTCGTATGAAAAGCTCCAGTCTTCATTAGAGAGTGAAGTGAACGTGCTGGCTTCAAAACTCAAGGATTCAGTAAGAGAGAGAGAGAAAGCCCATTCAGAGGCTGCCCAGAGCAGAAGTGAAGTGTCACAGATAAAAAGGGAAAAGGAAAACATTCAGACTCTCTTGAAATCCAAAGAACAAGAAGTCAGTGAACTTCTGCAGAAACTCCAGAAGTCTCAGGAAGACCTTGCAGAAATGAAGCGGTCTTCCATGAGCTCTACCAAGCTGGAGGAGGACAAAGATAAGAAGGTTGGTGAGCTTCCAACTCTGTTGGCTTTTTCTCTAGCAGCCCTGGTGATGCAGTGGTTAAGAGCGTGGCCACTTAGAAAAAGTTAGTAACTCAAACCTACCAGTCACTCCTTGAGAGAAAAGACCTGGGGAGCTATTCCCATAAGGATTTCCGCAGAGGATTCCATAGAGGGCACTTATTGGGAGCCTGATGACACAGTGCTTATGCTTACTAATTTATGATCAGTTTCTGTAAAGATTACAGCGAAGAAAACTCTGACAGAGCAGTTATGCTGTGTCAGATGGGTTTGCTGTGAGGTGAAATCAACTTGACAACACCTAACAGCAACACATTTTTAGCACTAACTAACCTGCTGCCAAGGGAGCCCTGTTGACCTAGTGGTTAAGGAGCTGATCTGCCAGTCCATAGATGGGAAGTTTAAATCCACCAGCTGCTCTGTAGGAGAAAGATAGGCAGTCTCCTATGTGATTGACAGCCTCTGAAAACTCAGTGGAGGGTCAGCTATGAGTTCAATGGCAATGAGGACTGAAGCTGTTGTGAACCATCTGCGTATATCTGCCTCCAGATCTGGACTCTGATTGGCATGTGTTCCAGAGTTTCTACCACTTCCTCACACATATGGTACATACTTGTCCTTAAAAGATCATTTTATAGAAGCTCTGCCAATATCAAGGATCAAAGAACTCAAACTCATTGCCATCGAGTCAAAAATGACCTTTCACTGGGTTTCCAAGGCCAGGGAAGAAACAAAGATTCTCACCACTAGGCCAATTTTCAGCATCAGTATGGAGGATTGTGAGAAGATTGAGATAGTGAACAGTTTGTTTGCTTGGCTCCACAGTCAACACTCTTGGTACCAGCAGCCAGGAAATCAAGAGACTTAATAGCATAGGGAAAGTCAGCTGTGAGGGACCTCTCCAGAGTACTGAAGAGCAGCGACGTCAGGCTGGAGACTAAGGTATGCCTGAGCCAGGCTATAGTCTTCACAATTACATGCTATGCATCGGAGAGTTGGACAGTGACTAGGGATGATAGAGCGTTGATGCCTTTGAGCTGTGGTCTGGAGAAGAGTGTTGAATGTGCCATGGACTGCTTGGAGAACAAACAGGTTGGTCCTGAAGAGGGTGAAGCTGGCTGCTCCTTGGAGTCAAGGATAGAGCAGGGTTTAGGGCTCTTGCTGTGGGTCTCAAGCAACTCCACGGCACATAACAACAAAAACAAAAGATCATAGAAGCTCTGCCAATATTAAGGATTGAAAAATTCAAATTCATTGCCATTGAGTAAAAAATGACCCTCCGCTGGGTTTCCAAGGCCACAGATAACACAAATTACCCCTTTCTTCCAAGGAGCTGTTACTGGATTCAAACTGTCAAGAGAGGCACAGCTTTGGAATTAGCCGTACAACTATCTACAGATGATACCATCAGTGATCCCATGAGCTAATCCATTTAGAATTCCATGTCTTTCTTAATATGTAATTCTTCTGTCCTTGGCAGCTGAGAGGTGTACGGGTGGTGTATTCCATCGCATGGTTTGCTCCTTACCAAAAAAAGGCAGGACATTTCCAGCCGTTTGAATCCATCAACAGCCCCCAGGGAGAAAGATGGCCAGTCTCTTCCTGTTAACTTGTTGCTGTTGTTCCTGTTAAGTGCCATCAAGTCAACTGTGACTCATAGCGACCCTCTGAACAGCTGATCTCTACCGTGCTGTATCCTGTACCATCCTCACCGTCTCCGATATGCTCACCCCCTCTGTTACATTCACAGTGTCAGTACAGCCGGTTGAAGGTCTTTCGCTGACCCCTCTCCCAATTCAGTGTTTTTTTTTCCCCAAAGACTGGCCGCTCCTGACAACATGTCCACAGTGTGTGAGACAAAGTTTCACCATCCTTGCCTCTAAGGACACTGGTTACACTTCCTCCAAGACAGATTTATTTGTTCTTTTGGCAGTCCATGGGATAGTCAACACCACAAATCAAAGCTGAGTTTTCTCATACAGATTGTTGTTATGTACCATCAAGTTGAAACTGACCCTCAGCTGACCCTCCAGGGGGTTTTCATAGGAGTCAGGATGGCTGTGTGTCTAAGGTGCTGCGTCCAGGTTTCAGACTCCTTTGGAGGCATGAGTTAGAATCCCACTTCTGACAGGAAGACATTAAGATAGGAAGTAGGACAAGTGTTACTCCATTGTGAGTATCGATGGAAATTGAATTTGCTTTGTAATCTTTCACTGAAATCACATTTTTTAAGAAAAAAATCTTAAAAATGAATAAACTTTAGAGAAGCCCAATGGATGGTCACTTTGAGTCAGAACCTATTTGATGGCAGAGTATGGTGTTTGCAATTACTTGCTATGTATCAGAGAGCTGGATAGTGAAGGAGAATTGATGCCTTTGAGCTTTGGTCCTGGAGAAGAGTATTGAATATACCATGGACTGCTAGGAGAACAAACAGGTTCATCCTGGAGAGGGTTAAACCAGGCTACTCCTTGGAGGCAAAGATTCTGAAGCTCCATCTGACATACTTTGGACATGTTGCAAGATGGGATCAGTCCTTGGAGAGGGATGTCATGCTTGTGAGGGTGGAGGGACAGCACAAGAGAGGAAAGACCCTTGATGAGATGGATTGGTTCAGTCACTGGGGTAATGGAGATGGGTGGGTTGGAGACAATAAGATTGACAAGGGATAGAACAAGGTTTAGGGGCTGTTGTACATGGGGTAGCTATGAGTCAGTCGCAGGAGACTCAACAGCACATAACAACAACAACAACAACAGCTGCTCATAGACTTGATCCTGATTTTCACAGCTTCTGTGAACTTTTATCCTCAAGTCAGTATGAAAATTGCACTCCTGATCCTCCTTTTCCAAGACACGTGGCAAAGAGAGGGAAGTGGTGGGCAGTTGGTAGTGATGCTGATGTGGGAAGGCACACGTGGCCATCCTCCGTCCCCCGCACCAGGGGTCTGCTCAGCATCTGTCCTCTGTGTCCCGCTTTCTGAGAGGCACTCGCTGGAGCGCTTGTTAGGAGCCACTGAGTCGATGGTGACTCGGGTGAGACTGCCACGTGGGTGCACAGTCAAAGCGGACGCCCGAGAGTTGTGTCCAGAAGCAGATCTCCCAAGTCACTTCTAGAAAGGTCTAAATGCTTAGTCTTGTTAAGTGGCGTGGAGTCAGCTGTGACTCATAGCGACTCGATGAACAGCAGATCTGAACCTGGCCCTATCCTGCATCACTCGCACGTCACTGATGTGCTCCAGCCCATGGCTAACCACCACTGCATCAGTCCATCCTGTTCAGGATCTTCTCTTTCTCTGACCCTCCACCTTTCCCAGCATGATGTCTCTTTCCAAGGACTTAACCATTTACAGCCCCCAGATTAGAGCAGTACTTGTCTTGTATTCCTTTCAAATGAGTGTTTGAAAAAGAGCTTCAGGAACCTAGGGAGGAAGGGTACGCTCCATTTAAAGCCAGCTGTCCAGAGGTAGAACACCACATTCCCAGTTATCCATGCCAGCAGTGTCGGGTAAGGCATTGCTGTGTCCCCTCAAATAGAAGAGACCTGAGATATCAGTTTTTGGTGGCCCTTTTACACAATAAAAAGAAATCAACATAACAACTTTTGTTTCTTTTCATGCACTGGAACAAAATAAGTAACTTTAAAAAAAAAGCCTTTATCTAAATACAGTGAAATTAATTACGAGCATGTGGCTGATCTTCACAATTTGGTTATCCAGTTCATTTTGTAAATTTTCTTGAGAGGGAAAAATTTCTTTGTTCCCAGGTCTCAAGTCCCAGGGGCCAAGAGGTGACTTTGTTTGCTGCTTAGGAAGCTTTGCTTCTGTCGACGCGTTCTTGCCCATTGACATGGCTCTCCTCTCTTGGTAGATAAATGAAATGACAAAAGAAGTCACCAAACTGAAGGAGGCCCTGAACAGCCTGTCCCAGCTCTCCTACTCGACAAGCTCCTCCAAGCGCCAGAGCCAGCAGCTGGAAACCCTGCAGCAGCAGGTCAAGCAGCTCCAGAACCAGCTGGCGGTGAGTTGAGCTCATTTGCGCTGCCTGGTTGTGGGGAAGGAAGTGGGGGTGTGCCGATTACATGCCATTCCAGCTCTGCAGGCTTCCCCACCTGGCTGGCTACCAACCCAAAGGCATACCGTTCCAATCCACGAGCAGCTCCGTGAGAGAGAGATGGGCAGTCTCCTTTCATTTGATTTACTGCATCTGAAAACCCACTGGAGGGTCAGCTATGGGTCAGTCCCAACTCAATAGTACATAACAAAAACAATTTGCTCATGACTGAAGATGTCTTGAGCAGCAGAGAGAATGGATGGTGGAATTCCCAGGACTTACCTGCAGGAGTTGGATGGAGATTTGCTGCGTTTCTGCAGCAAGTGATCTTATCTTGAGCAGTGCCGAGAATCTTTCTTATTAGTGACCAGGATCATGACCTTCATTTAACTCCTACAGGGAGTTTTGTATTTTATTAAAACCTCACTGCTGTTAAGTCAAAATTGGCTCATGGCTCGTGCTCGCTTCGGCAGCACATATACTAAAATTGGAACGATACAGAGAAGATTAGCATGGCCCCTGCACAAGGATGACACGCAAATTCGTGAAGCATTCCAAAATTGGCTCATGGCTAATTTGCTTGTGGGTTTTCAACAGCTGACATTGAGGTGGGCGTATTTCAATGTTGATTAATTTTACAAAATATGATGAATGGGAATGATTGTATGAAACAAAATAGGAATGAAGAATAGTGTGAAACACACTGTATACAAACTTTGTAAGCAAATGAACAAAGCTACCATTGCACAGGAGGAGAAGGAGATTGCCCATCTCCTGAGGAGCAGCTGGTGGGCTTGAACTAACAGAGATGTGCACTGCCTTTGGATTGACAGCACAACTCCCTACAGATTATGCCACCAGAGTTCCCTCTTATTTTAGTAACCAAAATAAAAGCCTTTTTGTATCTGTATCAGTTTCCTTTGATTGCTGTAACAGATTGCCACAGTCTTGGTGCCTGAAAACAATGTCAAATTTTCACCTTAATCCTAGCTTTTGAAGTTCAGAAGGAGTCTCAACTGAGCTTAAATTCAAAGGGTCCGCATCAGTTCCTTCTGCCGGTTCTGAAGAGAATCTGTTTCCTTGCCTTTCTGGCTAGTTCATGACCCTATCTCCATTTTCAAAGGCTGTCACTCTCAACTCTGCTTTTGCCATCCCAACTTCTGCCTTTAACCCGTTGGCCTCCTTCTATTAGAAAAACACAACTCATTGTTGTAGAGTTAGAAATGACTCATAGCTGACCCTGCAGCTGATTATCAGAGGCTGTAAGCTGCACAAGAGGAGATGGCACATCATTCTCCCTCAGAACACCTGGAGGATTCAAACAGCCTGCTTTTTAGGTCGGCAGTGCAAGTCTATAACTCCTTGGCCACCAGAATTCCTCCTTCTTAGATGGAGGGCCATTATATTTCCTTGTCCAGCTATCATTAATGAATGTTTGACCAAAAGGGGAGAAAATTAACGACAAAATTTCAGTTCTCGATTAATCCAGATTTTTCTGGAGCCATTGAAGCTAAATGAACACCTGAAACTGAAATACTCTCTACCTCTGAAACCATAGGCCAAAAATATCCCTGAAGCCTCCTTTAAACCAAACAGTAGCCTAGATAAACTAGTAAAGAATGCTTGCCATGAGCTTTGTGCTATGTGAAAAACTTACTTTGTGGGATTAAAGTGTTAAACAGCTGCTCAGTTGACAGGTCAGAAACTTAGGGACAAACAAGTTAATGTTAACAGTGAAGAAACAAATTAGAAAAGAAAACATGAGAATTGTTGCACTATTGGAAGAATGTAATCAGTGTCACTATTTTGTGTAAATTAGTGTATATTTTCAACAATAATTTATATTTCATGTATATTGGATAGTTTATGCATACATATTTGTGCAGTAATTGTAGAAAAGTTGAAAATACTAAAACCAAAGTGAAAAGCCCTTGTAGTTCTAGTAGTCAGGGATAATCAGGGCCATTTGATAGGTTTTCTTACAGTGTTTACTCTGTGTGAGTGTCTGTATATTTGCATAAGTGTGTGTACAGGTGGTTCCCAACTATTTTAAGTTTTTATTTCTTCTTTTTAATATCTACATAAATAAATCCCATGTTTAGTTGTTGGCATTAGTCCTAACAGTGAAGTTGAAGTCCTAATATAATGTCAGGATGTGTGTGTGTGTGTATGTGTGGTTGAATTGCCATTTGTTGTTAGGATTGAATACTGACCAGCTTACTACTAGTTAACAACTCCTTACACTGAAATCGACACAGAGTTCACTGTAGACAAGGCCATGCCTGCTCTGTGGAAGTGATCTATCAGTGAATCCTAACACTGAACATATTCAAGTGAACCACTGAAAATGGCAACATCAGCAAATTAAACTGTGCCCATCAGATGTAGTACAAATCCACTCACTCAGTCCACATTGCCATCGAATCAGCACTGACTGACAGCTGACCCTCCAGGAGGGTTTCGGAGGCTGTAAATAGCAGAGGAGGAGATTGCCCATCTTCCTCTCCAGAGCTGCTGGTGGATTCTAACTGCCTGCCTTTGAGTTGACAGCATAGCTCCTTACCCACTAGACCACAAGAGCCCCTCATACATGTCACCAGAATACAGACTACTAATGAGAAAATGTTCTTGTTTTTGTTGTTATATGCCATCGAGTTGCCTGTGACTCATAGCAACCCTATGTACAATAGCCCTAGACCCTACTCTATCCTGTGTCAATCTTATTGTGTCTGACACACCTATCCACATTACCCAAGTCACTGAGTCAATCCATCTCATTGAGGGTCTTCATCTTCTACACTGTCCCTCCACCCTCCCAAGCATGATGTCCCTCTCCAAGGACTGGTCACTCCTTGCAGCATGTCCAAAGTATGTCAGATGAAGCTTCAGAATCCTTGCCTCCAAAGGAGCAGCCTGGTTTAATGCTCTTCAGAACGAACCCATTCATTCTCTTAGCAGTCCATGATATATTCAATACTTTTCTCCAGCACCACAGTTTAAAGGCATCCATTCTCCTTCTATCATCCCTAGTCATTGTCCTGCTCTCTGAGGCATATTTAGCAAGTGATTGCAAAGACAGTGGTCTTGGTCAGGCGCATCTTAGGTCTCCAGACTGACATCATTGCTCTTCAGTACTTTGGAGAGGTCTCTGACGGCAGACTTTCCCAATACAATACATCTTTTTATTTCCTGGCTTCTGGTGCCAAGAGCGTTAATTCTGGAGCCAAGCAAATTAAGCTGTTTACAATCTCACTATCTTCACCATCCGTCATGATGCTCCCAATTGGCCCAGTGGTGAGAATCTTTGTTTTCTTGATACTGAGCTTCAATCCATACTGAAGGCTGCAGTCCTTGAACTTCTGCAGCAAGCATTTCGGGTCCTCCTCAGTTTCAGCAAGCAGGGTTGTGTCATCTGTATAACGCAGATTGTTGATGAGTCTTCCTCCAATCCTGATGCCACATTCCTCATAGAGCCCAGCCTCGCAGATAATCTGTTCTGCATATAGATTGAAAAAGTATGGAGATAGGACACATCCCTGGCATATACTCGTCCCAATTTTGAACCATGAAGCGTTCCCTTGCTCTGTTCTGACGACTGCCTCCTGGTCCAAGTATAGGTTTCACATAAGCACAATCAAGTGTCTGGGATTCCCATTCTTCTCAGAGTCAGCCACAGTTTGTTGTGATCCACACCATCAGAAGCCTTTGCATAGTCAATGAAATACAGATAGACATTCCTCTGTTACTCTCTGCTTTCAGCCAAGATCCATCTAACATTAGCTATAATATCTCTAGTACCACAGCCTCTTCTATACCCAGCTGCACCCACCCAAAATAACTGTAAAGAAGATATAATCTCCCAGCACCTGCTTACCCTGGCGCATGCCCACCGCCTACTCGAAGCCACAACATGTGGGCAGCACCACGTCCCCTGCACATGGCTTCCCGTGGATCCCACGGCAGGGCTCCGCCCTAGGTTGGGCAGGCTCCAGGGAGGACAAGTTGGTCTCTCTGGGTAGGACTTGGCTGCCTGATGAGGTGCCTACCGGGGGGCAGCAGCACAGGTGGCACCTCTGAGGACTTGAACCTCTCAGTGTGTGCCCTCTGCCACCTGTGCCCAGGCTGCCGCCCAGAACAGGCTGGTCAGTCATTTCAGCTCCCATGGACACTCCCTTGGACCATAAAGCTCTTCTGTTCTATGTGAAAAAAAAAAAGAAGATATAATCTAAATTATAATCCCACACTTACTTAGTATTATAGTAACTACTTTTAATAAGAATTTTCTTATTTTTTTAAAAAAATTTCATTATTTTTTGTGTGTACCGTCAAATCAGATCTGACTGGTACAGGAGGAGATTGTTCTTCCTCTTCCAGCAGAGCATCTGGTGCACTCAAACCACTCACGTCTGAGATTGCAGTGCAGCTTCTTGAAGAATTTTCTTTTTATAGAGTTAACATTCCATAATATGAAATGAATGTACTTCTCCCACCCCACCTCCCCATTATAATGCTAACAAGAAACTCTGGTGATACTGTATTGAGTTTAACTGAAAGGTCAGGGGTTCGAATCTTCCAGTGACTCCACATGAGAGAAATGGGCAGTCTGGTTTCATAAAATATTTGCAGCACTGGAAATCCAATAAAGGGTAGCTGTGAGTCAGACTTAACTTGATAGCATTCACTGAAATACTAACATGTGTTCAGAAAATACAACCAGACCCGTAATGTAATTTTAAATGTTTAAAGAGGGGAAGTCATTTGGACAGCATTTGACTACAGCTTCTTCATGGTTTATAGGGTGTGTGTTGAAAAGTCTAGTTAAACTGTTTAATAATTGCAAATTGCCTTTTCTTAGGAATGCAAGAAGCAACACCAGGAAGTCATATCCGTGTACAGAATGCATCTTCTGTATGCTGTACAGGTAAGGTAATGCTATGGGAAATATGGATCAAATATGTGAATGGTGTCGTGAGAATGAGTGAGTTTTGAGACAACGAGGTTGGCACAGGATAGAGTGGCATTTAGAGCTCTTGTACATAGGGTTGCTATGAGTTGCAAGCGACTTGATGGCACATAACAACAAGAAGAAAAGCCAGTATTAGACATTGCCGAAATTGCCATCACTGAAGTGGAAGAAAATCATCTTTTTCATTGGAAAACTAGAAAATAAAAATGCCTCTTGGACTGGATGTCAGGAGCCTCATGCCCTGCTCACCAGGAGCAGCCTCATCAGTTGTAGAAGGTTACCACATGGGGGGACAGGCTTCGTTTTCCAGGCGGGCTGGTATCTCAGAGCTGTCTGCACCACATGGCCCCTGTGACTGTTAACCGTCTAGCTAGCCGGGTTCATGTTTGTAACCAAAAACCTAGAGGCCTTAAGCTGAGCACTTAGGTAGCCCCAGCTCCATCATCCTCCAGAAGGAAAATAGTGGGACTCTATCTTGGATTCTGTTCCTCACAGCAGTGTGGGTATCGATAGAGCTGACATTCATCTAAGGCACCCTTCCTGGTAGAATAACATGCTTGGCTGTTGAAGACTAGTGATTCAGACTCACCTGGCAGTTCAGTGGGAGAAAGACCTTGTGATCTATTTCATCAGGATTGCAGCCAAGAAAACCTGGTGGTGGGGTGGTTGTCAGGTGCCACAGAATAGATTGTGTTCAATTAATAGCAACCCTGTGAACAACCTAAAGGTCTGAAAGTAGGGGAGTAAAAATTAATAGAAAAGCAGGATCAAAAGAAGGGCAGTATATACAATAGGAGGTGTAGACATTGCAATTAATCAGTGATATTAATCAATAGCAGTTATTGCTGTAACTCAAAATTCCTGTGAATGACTGTATGAAAAACCATAAACCTTCACTCAGACAGAAATTTTAAAAGAACAAACACCAATGGAGCAGTTCTGTCACATGGAGTCACCTGACTTGAAATAGGCTGGACAGCGCCAGTCAACAGCAGATCCTTCTAAAGAAGTGGGGGGAACGCCAAAAGATTCCTTGCAGCCAGCAGTCTGATTGGGGATGTGGGGGACAACAGCCACACACTCACTTGGGTTCTGATGCATGTCTTTTGTTTGCATTTCCTAGGGCCAGATGGATGAAGATGTCCAGAAAGTCCTGAAGCAAATTCTTACCATGTGTAAAAACCAATCTCAGAAGAAGTAAAGTGGTTTCCTGGGAAGGACACTGCCCCTTGTTGTCCATCTCTGTGTTGGATCCAGAGTTTGGCAGCCACTGCGTCTGTTCCCACCCGTGGTGTGCACTGTGACCTCGCGTAGCTTCTTCCTGATCCCTCGGCTTCCGGGGACTGATTCCCCTAGGAAGTCCGCTCTCCTTAGAACTGCCTGGAAACTTCAAAACCAGCAGAGGTGAAAGGTCCTCCCGATTCCAGAGCTGGGTTAGCCTTCCTGGCAGGGTGCTGGTGCTCGGGGGGTTGGGTAACCCCCGGGGCACCTGGCCAGCCGAGTGGCCTCACTTTGAGTGATGTCTGAGTGAATGCTGTTTGGTCCCTGTGCTCAGGGTGGTGCCTTTCAACACCCAGCAAGGCTCATTTTTGCCTTTGGATCCCAATCCCAAGTGATTTAATCACTAACCAAATTAGTAAAGCACTAGCTAGGAGATATATGCTTGATACCTTGTAATGGGATAGATGTGGATTGGGAAAACTAGGATGTCATTTTCTGTCCCACTGTACATTTTCCGTTGAAGGCATAGTCCATAGGGAGTTACACTGTTAACCCAAAGATAGCGCATCTCCGGCAGTCCAACTCTACTCCTTGGGAAAAAGATGGGCAGTCTCCTCCCCTGTGATCTACATCCTCTGAAAACCCGCTGGAGGGTCAGATATAAGTCAGTTCAGACTTGGCAGCAATGAGTTTGAGTTTACCCTTCTCTAACTCATCACCCTGCTCGCCAGGCTCCCAGTTCCATGAGCACTATTAGTTAAAGAAGTTTTAAAACAAAAGCAAAAGGTCCTTAAAAAATTTTCTCTTTGAGTCATATCTTCTATGCAAACTTGCCTCCTGCTGTTACCCAAGAAGCTCAGGAAATCCAAACACTTGCATTTCAACAAGGGATTACAGTAAACTGCACGTTTACAGCCAAAAGAAATGCCTCATCATTTCTAACCTCATGTTTTTTTAAAGTGTTTTTTTCGCTATAATGTTTGTATTGGCTCTTAATGACTTTTTCATAGCTAAACCCCAAAATAAGTGAAATTTACCCTAGACTCTATTAATAAGATATTTTTTAGGTAACTATACTTAAGACTTTTGAGAAATAGAACTTTTTCTCCTCAAAGTTTTCTGCTCTAGTGAAAGGTAGTTATGTATTCCACCCTTAATCTGAGCTGTCGCCGGTACCCCCAGGAATTCCTGCCATCATGTCCCCAGAGCTACAGCACGTACCTGAATGTCATGAAGCCTCCCCTTACCTGTTGAATACTTTTTAAGGTCCCAACTCTACCAGGGTCCACAAGTTATCTCTGGAAGGACTGGTTAGAACCAAGCAGTGTTTCAACATTGAAACTAAGAGGCCTGGTATGGTGTCATTATGGTGCAGAGCAAAGGTTTTGGGGACAAACACTTTGTGCTCACATTTCTTTTCAGGTTCAGAATGTTTCTAAGTGGCTTGCAGCTTCCCTTTATGGCTTTGATTCTCTTGAAGGAATTAAACTGAACACACAACTCTCCACAGTTAGTAACTAAGATGTGCGCCTGCTCTGTCAGGGCCCAACACCTCAGAGTGGATGGTGGGGTCCTGTCTATTGGAAGAGAACCAACTACAGCAGAGCAGATGGCTTTCACGCTTGGTGTTTCTTTTCTTAAGCTGTTTCATTTGAGTTAAGTAATTTCAAAAATGCTCCAGAAAAATGTGAAAAGACTTGGTTTTGGTCACAGCACTTATGAAAACACAAACTAAAACTCTCCCTTTCCCAGCACAGAAATGCTGCGAGTATAGGACTTGAGACATTTCTGTAGGATGCCTGACAAAGTGTAGCCTTGTACCTACCTTCATTCAGGATGCGTATTTATTACAAGTACTTTGGTTAAATATTGGAAAGTTATATGCTGTAGTCTAGCATTTTATCTTTGTAATTTACAGAAGTTACTGCAGGAAATAAACCTTTGTTTCATTTTGCACCTGGGTTGTGAGTTTTTGATGCATGCATATATTTTTTTCTTTGGGTTTGTTACAAAACCTCTCTGTGATTTCTATGAGTTCAGTAGCATTTCCACGTAATAGTTATTTCCTGTGTCACTGCCCCACAGTGGGAGTTGTGGGTAGTGCCACACTGAGATGTGAAACATCAAGTCAGAACCAACCCATAGCTGACCCATTAGTGGGTTTTCAGAAGTAGTTAATTGCACAGGAGGAGACTACCTATTTCTCTCCCTCAGAGCAGCTGGTGGATTCAAACGACATGCCATCGGGATTGCAACACAGCTTCTTGCCACTTGGCCACCAGAGCTCACTGCCTCACACAGTATTTCATATTATTTCCATCTCCTAGCTCTTGGCATAAGAGTTGTCCTGCCAACCCAAATGCAAGTAGTTCAAATCCATCAACTGCTCCACAGGAGAAAGGTTAGCAGTCTTCTTTGCTGTGTGATTTCATAGCCTCTGAAAAACCACTGGAGGGTCTATTTGTGAGTTTGAAAGCAGTGAGAGATTTTGAGCTCTTCCCAATTTAGAGCAGTTACATAACAATCTTTCAATGCCTCTCAACTGACACAGAAGCTTTTTTTACTGTTTAGAGGTCTCCTTGGGACATTTCCCCCTCTTCCTTTACCCCTTTCTTCCTTCTTTATCTTTTCCTCTTGAAAAAGTACTTAGTAGCCAAACCCATTGCTGCCAAGTCGATTCCACCTCATAGAAGCCATATGCAACAGGATAGAATTGCTACGTGTTTCTTCTGCAGAACTGCCAGTGGTTTTGACCGGGTGGCCTTACAGATTACAACTAAGCACTTCACCATTGCACTACCACGGTCTCTACTAATGCATACATGTGGGCTAAAGAAACAACACGTAATTCCAACACATTGTCTTAACACAAAATAAGGACAGTTCTTTCCTGAAGGAAAAAAAAAAAAGTTGAAATTGTACTACCACAACTAAATTACAGTGAAATTGGTGCAATTATAAGTATGAAGGGATCGATATTTGTTCCTATCCCAAGGAAAGGCGACCCAACCGGATGTGGAAACTACAGAAAAATTTCACTGATTTCACATGCAAACAAGATTTTACTGAAGATTATCCAAAAACGACTGGATCAGCACATCAACAGAGAACTACCAGAAGTCCATGCTGGTTTTAGAAGGGGTCGTGGTACTAGAGATATTGTAGCTGATGTTAGATGGATCTTGGCTGAAAGCAGGGAATACCAGAGGAATGTCTATCTGTGTTTCATTGACTGTGTAAAGGCATTTGACTGTGTAGATCATAACAATCTGTGGCTGACT